TTTAGTTACAGGCCAGAGAGAAGAAATGAAGGAGGATCTAAGGTCAGAGGCACCATTCTACATACCCTACAATTAGACGTGATTACAATAATAAGTGGCTACAAATTTAAAAAAAAAAAAAGATGGCTAGGCAAATGAGAAAGAACCCAACTTTAGAAAGTTACTATGGGAATATAGAAGCCTGGATTTCATCTTCAGAGGAGGATACTGAAGCAAAGGAGGTCTCTCCTACCCTAAAGAGTAACATTAAATGGTCACTTGCCCAGAAAGAATTCATAGAACTTTAAAAAGACTTTAAAAATCAAATTAGAGAGAATGAGGAAATTTTAAAGAAAGAACAGGTCAAGAAAAACAAGAAGATTATGAAAAGAAAATCAAAAAAGAGATAAAAAACAATAATAATCTTAAGGAAGAAAACAATTCCTTGAAAATTAGAATTGGGCAAGTGAAGACCAGTGAGGTTGTAAGAGACCAAGAAATAATAAAACAAAATAGAATGAAAAAATAGAAGAAAATGTGAGATATCTCAAAGAAAAGCAACTTATCTGAAAAACAGATCAAGAAGAGAAAATGTAAGAATAATCAGACTACCTGAAAGCTACAATAAAAAAAAAAGAATCTTCATACAATAATACAAGAAATAATTAAAGAAAATTGTCTTGAAGCATTAGAAAAAGAGGGGAAAGTAGGAATAGAAAAAAAAATCCACTGACCACCACCTGAAAGAGATCCTATGAGGAAAACCTTCAGGAATATCACAGTCAAATTCCAAAACCCCTGGCTTAAGGAGAAAATATTATGAGCAACAAGAAAAAAAACAAAAACAATTCAAATATGGCGAAGCCACAATTAGACTCACACAAGACCTAACAGCAATGACACTAAAAGACTGCAGGTCTTGGAACACCATATATTGAAGAGCAAAAAAACCAGGGTTGTGGCCAAAAATATCGCACCCAGAAAAGGTAAACATAATCCTGAATGAAAAAAAAAATGGATATTTAATGAATTGCCAGACTTTCAGGATCTTGTTGCAAAAATAAAAACTGAACTTAAAAGAAAATTTAATGTACAAGATCCAAGAGAAATATAAAGTACACATCGAAGACTAATTACAAGGGACGCAATAAGGATGAACAGTTTACTTTTTATATGAGGAAATGTAAAACATATATTTAAGGTTGTTATTGGTGATTGAGTAGTTTGAAAGAAAGATTGGAGTAGACCTGAATATGATGTGATTCTAGAAAGTAAAACCATTTAGGAAAAGATAAAAAGAGTAATTATCTTATACAAATGAAGTTCAAGAGAAGGAATTGACAGAGGAATTAGATGGGGGAAGAAGGCTGGTGGTTCTAGAACCCTACTCTCATTGGGAATGGGTTAAAGAGGGAACAATACATACATATTTAGAAGGGCATAAAAGTCTTCTAAATTCAGAAAGAAATAAAAGGCTAAGGGGATAGGGAATGGGGAGAGGATAAGGGAGGGATTTTGAGACAGAACCCTACTCACATCAGATCTGGGTTAAAGAGAGAATAATATATGCATTTAGAAGGGAATAAAAGTCTTCTAGGTTTATAAAGAAAAAAGAGGGTGAGGGAATAGTATGGTGGGGTAGAAGGGTGTCTGGATTAATGGGAATGAGATAAAGATGGAATAACATATATATTTGGAAGGCTATAAAAGTATTCTAAATTCAGATAAAACAAGAGGGTAAGGGGAAAGGATAGGGGCGGGATAAGGGAGGGATCTTTGAGGGGTAGGTTAAGTAATAGGAGGGCAAAGAAGTGGATAGAAGTAAAGCAGAAGAGTCAGGAGGGATGTAAGGAAGTAAGAGATACAAACATAAAATAAAGATCAGGAGTAGAATTTATTAGGGAAAACTTATTAGGGGAAAAAAGCAGGGGTAGTAATCGTGACCTCAGATAAAGTTAAAGTTAAAATAGATTTAATCAAAAGAGAAAAATAGGGAAACTACAGTATATGTCAGTTATGTTAATCAATGTTTTTAGACTATTTAAAATAACTAGACAGTATAAGGTTGGAATATTGCTGGGGCGCATGAAATGATGAGTTGGTGGACTCAGGAAAAAATGGAAAGACCTAGACTCAGAAGGAAGATGCTATCCATTCTCAGAGAAACAGGACAAACAGGTATAGTAAAGTCTTACATAGATGTGTATGAGTGTATATGTCTATACGAGTATGATTATACATATACAAGTACATGTATACATATGTAAGTGTATGTATGAATGTGTATATGTTTGTGTGTGTATGTGTATATATATTTGTATGCATATACATGTATATATCCACATATATAGGCATATGTTTATATGTGTGTATGTGTGTGTGTGTGTGTGTGTGTGTGTGTGTCCATGCATAATTATAGCCTTCTTGGGCCGATACTCTATCTACTGTGCCACCTAGCTGTCCCCCATCTCCAATTATTTTTCATCAATCCCTAAGTAGGAGAGGAGGAGGTAAATGGTGGGAGTATCAGGGCTGAGGTCTGCGAAAGCAATAAGGTCAAGAAGGTAAGGGGATTCATGAATAGAAAACAGTGTAGAGTTGAAATAATATTGGTTCAAGATTAGAAAAGGAAGGAAGAGAAGTCAAAGCAGGGATAATAGAATGAGAAAATACTGTGGAATGGAGAGACTGGCAATCTGGATGAGGGTGAAGAATAGGATTACAAGGTGTGAAAGTACAGGGGGAGATGTGAAATGATACAAGGTTGTAGACAGAAGATAACAGAATTTTTAATTAAAGAAGTGGAACACATGAGTAATGGTGAGATCCAAGGTGTGAGTGGATATGTGTGACTGAGATATATTAAAGGAATAGGTCATGAGATTTAAGGAAGCTGAGAGGAATTGAGAGGGTAAGGAGTTTGAGGGAGCAGCAGCAATGTAAATATTAACATCTCCTAGTATAAGAGCAGAAGTTGTGGAGGAGAAGAAAACAGCAAACCAGCTAATGACCTTGAGAAAGGAGGGGAGAATGACCTGGGAAGTTAGTATGCCGTAACCACAATTTAGATGGGGTGAAAATTTCTTCCAAGAAGAGATTGCTGCATGATGGAGGTAAAGGGAGAGTCTGGAAGTGGCAATGAGGAACAAAGTGTTCCAGCTCCTTCTTTAGGACCAGTGTGTGTGGGGGGTTTGGGGTGGAAGTGCGAGGGGTGGGGGTTAGGAGTTTGGGATGGGAGGAATGAGAGTATAGCCATTGTTGTAATGTAGAGCATGCCCAGGGACACACTGTCATTTGGGTAAGTCGTGTCCCAGTGAGGGTTAGTAGATAAAAGGAGTGTGAGAGAAAGAATTCCAGGATCAATGGGGAGTTCCTCACTGTTAATAACTTTAGTAAACAGATCGTGACTCCATCAAATGCCGAGGCCTCCCATACTAGCTCATATACTACTGCTTCAACTAGGCTATTGCAACCCTGCCTATAAGGACTTGGATCCTGATTTCAGTTAGCTCCATGCTTTATGAGAGGCATGTGCTATTGGACTTTAGCAGCTATTAATTTGGTAATGGGATGCCCTGAATGACGGAGGTTCTGGTAAGTCCTTTTAGTGCGCTGAGCTTTTGGGTCCCATGGAGACTTAAGGGATTGTCATTCAGTCATTTCAGTCATGTCCAACTCTTTGTGACCCCATCTGGGATTTTCTTGGCAAAGATACTGGAATGGTTTGCCATTTCCTTTTCCAGCTCATTTTACACATGAGGAAACTGAAGCAAACAGGTTAAGTGACTTGCTTAGGGTCACACAGCTAAGAGGTATCTGAGGCCAGATTTGAACTCAAGAAGATAAGTCTTCCTGATTTCAGGGAGCAGCACCCTGTCCTATCACCTAACTACCCCATATTCTGTATAAAGGACAGATAAGTAGATAATATTTTCGTCTATAATGAGGGGAAGAGTCAACACTGATTCCTGAGAAATAGTTATCTTCTTGCCTATGTGGCTTGTACCTTGGAGAGAATAGGATTGATAATTACATGCTCTTTTCTTTGATGTTAGTACCAATGGAGGAATTTTGCTGATGCCTCCTTCTGCACAAAGTTCTTTGTGAGGTGTGTCAGCATCCACCAGATATATCGTGATCCTGTTGAACTGAGCAAATCAGGTTGTTCATGTTTATGAGAATGGCAGAGTTTGGGTAGTCAGCTGGACATGGGGAATATAATGCTATGATATGGTGAAATCAGGGTTGCCCATTTCCAAAAGATCTATCATGTCACAACCCAATGCAGTAACCAAAAAGCCTCCAACCAATCGGCTGTTTACATTGGCCCATTTTCCCTATCTCAGGGCAACAGGTTTGCCTTTACTGGAGTTGATACTTACTCTGGATATGGCTTTGCTGGGCCATTCAAGACTGTCAACACTGAACCCATCGTCCAATCTCTCCTAGAACATATATCCTTCTTCCTTTTGGGCTATCCTGCACAATTGCCTTGAAACCAGCATCCACTTCACTGTGAAGGAAGATGTACTGACAACATTTGAGTTTTCCCCCTCCTGTACTCAGGCAGCTGGTAATATTGCTCTTGAAATAATAGTTTTGTTTTCATGCCTAATTATTGGGGTTCAGCATCCCATATGCTAAATGCTGTGTCTTCAACACATCAACACCATTCTAGGAAATGACAGGACTCTCCATTTCTGAGTTTTTATGGATCCAGCCTCCAAAAAATCGTCCAGTGTGGATGGACCGCTTTTCTCTTCCTCTGAGTGAAGTCACCTGGATCTCAAGGTAAATCCCTCCCCCACCTTGTGTTGCCCACCTCCCCCCCCCCCAACTCCATACATCCTGGAGAAACAGCTCAGATCCTCTCAACTGGAAGCTCTTTCCTTGGTTCATAGTTACTTCACAGAAAGGGCCTGTGAGATCCTGGAGGTGGAATTTTTTGGAAATACTTTGCTTTCTAATCACATGGGAGATATTAAACTGTCTCTGATCAACTATGGTGAATGTGAATTTACCTGGAAGAAAGCAGATTCTTTAACTGACTTGGTGGCAATCCTGAGTCTCTGGATGAAGGTGAAGGAGAGTCCTTATTACCCAGGCCCTGCAGAAGGACAGAGTCCCTCATCAGAGACTTCTAAAGAAACAAAGATTTGGTATCACCCTTCTTACCTCTCTTCATAGGGTTCCCAAGGAGAGGGAACTTCTAGCTAGCAGGTAGGGGTGGTAGAGGGCAAGTTACATGCAAGAGACTTATGACCCACTCATCACAGCAGCTTTTCCAAACCTTTTCATCCATGGCTCCCCATTCTTACCTGAGGACTTCTCGTAATATTTTACTGACAAAAAAATTAGGCCAATCGAGCTCTTCATCTTACATCTCAGATGCTTTCCCCTTCTTCACCCCTGTCTTATGTGAAGAGATGGTCTTTCTCCTTACTAGGCTAACCCCTCTACACGTACAAGTAATCCCATTCCTTCTTATTGTCACCAGTAGATTGCTGCCTCTATCATTCCTATTCTAAACACTTATTTTTAATATTTCCCTGTCAACTTTCCTACTGCCTGCAAACAAGTCCAATACTTGATTGTTTCCCTCATCCTCAAAAAACCCCTCGCTTTATCTATCATATATATCTTTTGACCTTTGTGGACTGTGAGATCCAGGTGACTCCACTCAGAGGAAGAAAGCAGTCCATCCATACTGGACAATGTTTTGGAGGCTAGATCCATAAACTAAACTAAAAAAATGCCCTCTACAGCAGAAGCCTCTATTTTCTCCCCTCTCACTTTCTTCTTAAGTCCTTACAATCTGGCTACCAACCTTATCATTTCTCCAAAACTGCTCTCTCCAAAGTTACCAATGATCTCTTAATTTCTCAGTCCTCATTTCTCCTCAACCTTTCTGCAGCCTTGGACACTGTTATACTCTTTTCAACTTGATACTCTCTTCCCTCTGGATTTTGGGATACCATTCTCTTCTGGTTCTCCTCCTACCTGACTGCTCCTTATTAGTCTCCTTTGCTGAATCCTCATCCAGATGAGTTAGAGGATTCTCCTCCTCTAACCTGAGGTGTGTCCCTCCAGGTTCTGTCCCAGGCCTTCTCTCCCCTCTATACTACTTCATTCGGTTATCTATTCGACCTATATCCTACCCCAACCTCTCTGCTGACCTCCAGTCTTGCATCTCCTATTGCCTTTCAGACATCGTAGACTGGGTGTCCAGTAGACATCTTTAACTCAACACGTCCAAAATTGAACTCATTATCTTTCCCCTGAAGCCTCCTTCTTCCCCACCTTCCCTATTACTATAGAGGGCAACACCATCCTTCCAGTTCTTCAGACTCACAACCTAGGTGTCATCCTGGATCCCTCATTATCTCTCACTCCCATAATCCAATCTGTTGCCAAAGCCTGTTCATTTCACCTTTGCAACATCTCTCAAATACACTCCCTTCTCTCCTCTGGTACCCTCATTACCCCATTCCCGGACTATTGAAATAGCCTGTTTGGTGGGTGTCCGTCTCAGTCTCTTCTCATTCTACCATTCCAATCCACTCTCCATTCAGCACCAAAGTGATTTTCCTAAAGGATAGATCTATGTCACCCCTCTGCCCAGCCCCTCCCATAGACTCCAGAGGCTATCACTTCCAGGATCGAGTATAAAACGCATTGTTATTTGATCTGGCGCCAAAACCTTCCATTATCTAGCCCCCTCTTACCTACCTTTCCAGCATTTTTATACCCTACTCCCTGCCATGTGCTCTTTGGTCAAATGACACCGGTCTTTCTGCTGTTTCGCAAACAAGACATGCCACCTCAGCTCTGGGTATTTTCTCTGGCTGTCCTCCGTGTCAGGGACGCTCTCTCTTCAACTCCACCTATCGATAATGTCCCTGGCTTCCGTTAAGGTGCCAACGAAAATACTATCTTTTAAAGGAAGCCTGTCCCAATTCCTCTTAATTCTCGTGCCTTCCCTCTGTATAATTTCCTACTTATCCTACATGTAGCTTGTTTGCACATATGTCTGCTTTTTGTCTCCCTTATTAGATCTGAGGTTTTTTAAAGGTCAGGATTGTCTTTTGCCTCTTTCTGTAGTCCTAGTGCTTAGCACAATCCCTGGCACATACTAGATAGTTAATGAATGCTTATTGACTTACTACTCTCTGACTAATCCTCAGTCTTTCAGTTTTCTGGCTACTTCTCCATTGCCTAAAAACATGGCTCTCCCCCAATCTCAAAAAAACCCCTCATTTGATCACTCCATCCCTGTTAGCATCTCTGCTGCTGCACTCCTTCAGGAGACCATCACATTATTTCTTTTTTCTCCTTTTACTAGCAAAAAGCTCCTTCCTTCATTGCTGCCTCTTTTTGCATCCCCAAATCAGGTTTTTCCAGTAAGGACTCAGCGAGGTACTAACCTTGCCCTGTATTCTGGACTAGTTTTTCTCCTCAAAGAAAGGAAATCTGCTCTGGGTCCCAACTGGTCCAGGAGATGAAGGCTCAAGCCACTGACACAGCTTCCTGTTCCATGTAGGGTATTAAAAGGACAGCCAAAGAAGAGTTAGTGCTCCCCTCAGACTTGACGCACTGCCAAATGAATACACCTTTCTGACAGGATGCATTTCCATGTGGAGGCAGATTTGTGTTTACATCAAACACCCTTTCTATTTTTTTTTTTGGTTAAGCAATGGGGTTAAGTGACTTGCCCAGGGTCACACAGCTAGTGTTATGTGTGTGAGGTCGGATTTGAACTCAGGTCCTCCTGAATCCAAGTCTGGTGCTCTATCCACTGCGCCACACAGCGGCTCCTCTATTCTTTTTTAATGCTATGGTCAAGAAAATGTTTTGTTGTGTTGGATAGTTTAATTTCATTTCAATTTCAAGGTGGTTGAGCAGGTACCACAGTGTGAAGTAAGAATCCTTCACCTAGCATGTGCTTAGCTGTCAGATAGCTGTGTCTTTGTGTGTGTGGGTAGAGAGGGAGGACTGTAAAGAGATGTTCGGTTATTTCAATTGTGTCTACTCTTCATGACCCCATTTGGAGTTTTCTTCGCAAAGATATTGGAGTGCTTTGCCATTTCCTTTTCCAACTCATTTTACAGATGAGGGTCTGAGGCAAAATGTTAAGTGCCTTTACCAAGGTCACACAGCTAGTGTGAGGCCAAATTTGAACTCAAGAAAAATGACATTTCCTCACTCCAAAACCAGTACGGCACCACCTAGCTGCCCCTAGTTTGCAGAGATTAATCCACTGACTTGAAAGTCACTGAAATCTGATATCTTAACACTTACTACTTGATTTTCGTTCTCAGAGGTGAGGCAAGACTACCTACAGATGGGTCTACAGGTGGGAGAAGTGCATGAAGACCTTTTTTTCTCCAGCCCCCGTCACCACATGACACTTGTTTCTTTTTAGTTTTTCCTGAACTAGGTGACCAAATGTTCAGATACAACTGACATTACAACTCTGTAAGATTAAAGAACAAACGACCTGCCCTAGGTAAGGAATAGAACAATTTATTCACCAAGAACACCATACCCATAAGTAAACCTGGTGGAACTCCACAAAAGGACTCCCAGCATTAGGGGAAGTTTTGTAGCAACCACTTTTGAGTTCACTCCCCAGGGAACTGAATATACATAAATAGAGGAAAGTGTGGAAGGAAGATCTGGGGGGATATTTTCATACTTTAGTTTTTGTTATATCTTCTCAGTAAATATTCCTTGGCTTAATAAAGTCTGTAGAGGCAGCCTGACAATTTGGAAGCATGCTTAAAAAGTGACTAAAACGTCCACAGCCTTTAATTCTAGAAACCCCACTTTTATGGATACATGCCAATACAAAATACAGAAAGCCCCTTGTATAGCAAAATATAGTCACTTTTAGCAGAGAACTACAAATAGAGAATGTGCCTGTCAATTAGGAAAGGTTAAACAAATTGTGGCACATAAAAATTACTATGGCATAAGAAACTGTAATTAAAATTCAGAAGCATAGTGTCACATTTATGTGCTCTGATGCAGAGTCCAGTAAGTACAACCAGGAAAACAAACAATTGCAATGTAAAACATAAATAAGAAACTGAACCACTGTTATTAGGAACAAGTTTGGCCCAAGCTCAATACACTTTCCTCCCTGCACTACAGTGACAGTGGACAATAGGTATGGTGTATCACATGTGATTTAAACATATCTGCTAACAATTAATTTCTTTAGCTAGCCATTTATCAGACATAAAAGAAAAAGTACATAATGACAAATGAAAGTACATGCTTTGAAGATGAACTATGCCAGCTGCCAAACAGAATTTTTATCATAAACCATAGAATGGGCATTAGGTCTACAGAAATTAATTCAACAGTAGATAATCAAGTAATTCACATTTCCAGTAACAGTTTTAGTTTTCTTCCCCCCCCCCCCCTTGCTACAAGTGATGGAAAGATAGCTAGGTCTGGAGTTAGGAAGACTCCTTTTGAATTCAAATCTGGCCTCATTGACTAGCTATGTGACCCTTGTGCAAGTCACTTAACCCCATTTGCTTCAGTTTCCTCATCTGTAAAATGAGCTGGAGAAGGAAATGGTAAACCACTCTATTATCTTTGTGAAGAAAACCTCAAAAGGGGTCACAAAGAGTCAGACACAGCTAAAACAAATGAACAACAAATGATGTGGGATGGGGGAAAAGAAGGAAGAATATATTTGGAAATTACAATTAAAAAGGCATCGATAAAAACTAGATTTTTAAAAATCTACAACCAAATTAGATATATTAATATCCTGACAAACCCATTCCTACCAAAATAAAACATATTTGCCGATTAAGCACATATTTATTTTAGTTTATTTAAAACATACAATGTTTCATTGAAACGGTGAAGCACTCTTTGCCAACAAACCATACCTGAATTGTTGGACCTTACAGTACAGTGAGTATATACAATATGTACAGATTTTTAACACCTGGGTAGGAAGGCCTTTTTCAACAGATCACACTTGTAACTACTGCATGTTAAAAAATAAAACCTCCATTAAACAAAAATGAATCTGCTCTATTTTAATTTCTTGAAGGTTTTTGATTTAAAAGAGGCTTGTTTATTGCAAATACAATTTAAGTTTTAGTACGTGTTCTTACACAACTTGGTAGCTCATGTCATTGTAATTGTCCCTATGCCAATTTTTAGGGGGACGATACTTACAGAGGCATACCATCGTAAAGAAGGAATAAACTAAGAAGAGTATGTACATTTAAACCCAATACCTGAACCTGTATTATATACAACCTATTTACAAATATATACCGACACATGATATATGTACAGAGTATCATAAATATTGAAAAATATGTTAGCTTTAATGGATTAATGTTGTTCTATAAATTATATTACAGTTATGACTGAAATATCTGTGGAAGACAGTAATGCAAAAACAAGGTGACAAGACAGTGGTTTAATACTGAAGATTGCTCATTAATGAGGATATGTTTTAGGAACCTCAAAGGCAGACAGGTTAACTTGTAGGAAAAATCATGCATTGGAGTACAGCCTAGCCAAGTGGTAACAGCCAAAGATGATGGGGGAGACTTCTAACATCCTTCTGTTGTAAGAAAAGGAATTGTTATTTTTTTCTGTATTTTGCTGGGGGAAAAAAAAAACCCTAAAATGATCTCATTGATTTAAGTATGAGATATGTAAAAAAAAAAAATATTCACATGGCATTCCTCTACAATTTTCAGGTGCTAATTTTGCAATTATTTCCAAGAGCTCAAAGAGGAATGCCAATGATGCTTGGTTTGAACTTGGTTTGAACAGAGTTGGGCTCTGGAAACCACACAGAGTAGTGATGGCCCACTCAAAAATATATAAAACAAAACAGTGCATATTCTCTAGATTGTACCTACTAACTTTAAATACAAAATTAACCCTTGGTCTCATTCGCTATATCACTACTGGTTATCTTCCAGTTGCATGAGATCTATAAGTTATAGATGTTTGTGGTCCATAACCTTACCAGTCACACAGAATACATAAGAATGCTGAATGACATAAACCATGCCTGCCAAATTCTGACTCTTTCCCAGAACTGAACATAGTTCAGTTCAAGAGAAAATTTTTCAGTCAGATAATCACAACATTTGCTTCTCCCAACCACTAATAGAATTACATAAATTCAGGTTTCTAGACATTATGCCAAATGAGTATAGTACCACAATTGTTTGATAACATATTCACCATACACCTTAACACACCATAAATGCGCTCTTAGAAGCCAGGTTTAAATTCACATTTTTCTCTAACTGGGATCAAAATGAAACAAGTGAACATGCAGAACCACAAGAGCTTCTTTATACTCACACTGCACTAGTTTCTTTAGCCATTGATCAGACATAAACAATTCTAAAGTGAACAAGTATGAGATGACGATCCAGTGCATATGAGTTTAAAGAAGCATCACTGCATGAGTATCCTAATTGTCTGTACAAAGAGAACTTGTATCATAGACCAAATACTAGTATAACACAGGTATTAGGCCTCTAGTGTAGATAAGACAAGAATAGAACTAAACAATCATTAATCAAGTAATTCACACTTCCAATAGTGGATAATGAGAAATCCTGTTAGTTCAGAAGTTTCTGAATACAATGGTTAACACCTACAAGCAAGCAGATCCTAGTCATCCACTGCTGTAAGTCATTTGCAAAGAGCAAATGAATTTTCAGTTGACTGAAAAACCTAACCATAGCTGTCAACGTAACTCTAGAAATAGGTGGTGCAACTGAATAAACCCTGTTTTACCCAATTGCACTATTTGGTACCTCAAATTCTATATATTAGTTCTTTATTTACCATAGAGATATTTGTTTCATCACCTTCCATTTTAATGGGGATAAGTCTTTAAAAATTTCATAATTTGAATCTTCCAGGTATGGGAGATACAGGAAGAAGGAACACAAAAAATAGACTTAATATCTGATTTGGGATAGAACATCAATTAACAAATGTTTACTAATTATACTTTTTAATTAATGGAGATTTGAATGAAATCTATGTTTCTAGTCAATGATATATCTTTGTTCGCATTGGTTTGAATGTATAATTTTCTTTAAAAATTACTTGTTTTGGATTAAAAAAGTATTTGGCTTATTATGCCTATAAAAAGGCAAGTTAATTCATAATACTAATAGTTTTAAACACTAATGAAATGTTTTTATTTGGTCTACTGACCTTATCTGGATAAAGTTCAAAAAAGCAATTTCTTAAAAGTAAAATAGTGCTTTTGAAGTCTTTGTATTTTTGGTACAAAAAATAATAGTGTTCTCTCTAATGGTTATTTCAACACTTCACTGCAAATTAATAATTATTTCTTACATCAAATGGTTCCATTAGGCACATTCAAGTAAAATCATAAAATATCCAAGTTAAACAATGAAAAAAAGCCAAACATGTGGCTTGATAAAAGTTAAAGTTGTCCATTCTCTGGAATGGAATAAAAT